GCCAGAGGCACGACGCGAATCACTATGTCTGTGACCTCACATCTGCCAGCTGTGCCATTTCGGACTCTTGGTCGGCCCCCTCCGCGATGTCCCGCGCGTCGCCAAGCGCCCCGTTGACGCCGTCGCCTTCGTTCGCGTTGGAATAAGAACCGTGCCCTTCCAGCACTTGGATATGGTTATCGATTGTCTCGTAAACGGCGCCGTCATCCAGCAATTGAGATACGGCCGCCTCTGTCTCCGTGGGCGACAAGCCCAACCCCGTTGCTGCGAAGGTGCCCAGATCTGCGCACTGTCCATCCGCGAACGGGGCCCTTGTCCTACCCCGTGGCGGCTCCTTTTAGGGGTGCTGAAACCAACGCCCCGCCTGAGACATCCTCACAACCTGCTCTGAAAGCCAACGATGTTGGGCATGTGAACGAGCAAACCGCTTTAGACATTTCCACACATTGGCCGCGAACGGGCCCGTGAAAACACCCTTGGCGGCTCCCCTCAGGGGTGTTGAAACCAGCTCCCCGCTTGAGACATCCTCACAACCTGCTCTGAAAGCAAAACGTGTTGGGCATGAGAACGAGCAAACCGCTTGAGGCATCCCCACAAACTGGCCGCGAACGGGCCCGTGAAACCACAGCTGGCGGCTCCCCTTAGGGGTGCTGAAACCAGCTCCCCGCCTGAGACCTCCTCACAATCTGCTCTGAAAGCAAAAGGTGTTGGGCCTGGCCGCGAACGGGCCCGTGAAAACACCCCTGGTTGATTGTCTTAGGGGTGCTGAAACCAGCGCCCCGCCTGTGACATCCTCACAATTTGCCCTGAAAACAAAGGATGTTGGGCATGAGAACGAGGCAAACCGCTTGAGACATCCCCACACATTGGCCGCGGACGGGCCCGTGAAAACACCCTTGGCGGCTCTCCTTATGGGGTGCTGAAGCCAGCGCCCCGCCTGAGGCATCCTCACAATCTGCTCTGAAAGCAACGGGTGATAGGCATGAAAACGACCAAACGGCTTGAGATATCCCCACAAACTGGCCGCGAACGGGCCCGTGAAACCACCCTGGCGGTTCCCTTTGCGAGTCTGAGTACGACTAGGTTTGAGTATGAGTAGGTTTCAGTCCGTGCGTTGAGTAATTCAGACTATGAGAAAGTCTGGGTATGTGTAGGTCTTAGTATGAGTAAGTCTGTGTATGAGCAGGTCTGGGAACGAGTCTGGGTATGAGTAAGTCTGGGTATGGAGGAGTCCCAGCATGAACAAGTCTGAGTATGAGTAGGCCTGCATGTTGTGTGTTGAGTAAGTCAGACCATGAGAAGGTATGAGTATAGATAGGTATGAGTATGAGCAAGTCTGTGTATGAGTAGATGTGTTCTCTCTGGAGTCGGCGGCGTCCAAGTAATAACAAGAGCCCCATCTTAGGATATGGGGAATCAACACAAAGTTTCGGAGGTCGGACCAACGACGGTGTGCCCACGCAAACGGCACCAGGCAGGGTGAAACAGACGCGGCGGCGCAGGCTAAGCAGCGTCGAAGGAGGACGGGGAAGAGGAGGAGGAGGAGGAGGAAAAGGAAGAGGAGGAGGAGGAGGGGGAGGAGGAGGAGGAGGAGGAGGAGGAGGAGGAGGAGGAGGAGGGGGAAGAGGAGGGGGTGGAGGAGAAGGAGAGGGCGCACAGCAAGCCAGGCGGGTCAGACTATATCCAATTCCGCCAGCCCTGGTGGGGGTTCAAGCAAAGTTCTGGGCAGAACCCCATGGGGATTCAAAGCGGATCGCGCCACAGCGTTTTGCAGCGCAACCCTTAGGATTCTTGCCCAGCGGTGTTGATACCCTGAAGCTACACCTCGGCGAACCTGCGGATGGATCTCACGAGAGCGCTCCCTAGCTAATTTAGGTATCACTTCGATTGCTTGCTCTCCCCATCTGCCGTACACCTCAGCTCCCAGACATAATAGGCACCCCAAGCCGCTAGTTGTGACTACCGCGTAGTCCGAATCATTATTCCGGCGTGCTTGTTTCAGCAAGGCGCCCCCTCCGTTACTTGTACCTGGCCTGGGGAGTCCATTACCCGATATCGGTGATAGCACTGTAACGTCACAGAAGAAAGGTAGCCCCTGGGCGACATTTAAGCACGGGACGCCGTCTTCGGTCAGTTGGGGGGACTGGCAGATGAGTCCGACTGAGCATTCGCTCAATGTTCCTATCATGGATGATGCCGCCAGCCTCCACAAATACTTGCCTCCAAGCTGTCACAAACTCTGTGTACCGAGCCTGCGTGCGGCGTTCCGTCGTGGAAGCAAGCAGTGAATGACCATGGGGATCCGGCTCGGATCGGCGGTGGACCGCCCTCCCTGGCGAGCGGAGCGCGCAAGCGGCAGCATCGAAGGCAATCCGCGCGGACCTCCGACAGCTCATGCCTATGCCATTTTTTGCCCTTCGACCAGGCCACCCTTGAGCGCAGGTTGTCGTCGTCGCCCTACCTCCTCCGCGAGGATCCAAAGTGTACTCTGGGCTCCTGTCCAACCGCCGTATCCCGGCGCCGCCTCCAGCGGCGCCCCTGGGGCGCTCAGCGCCCCAGAGTTGAGGTGTTGAGACAGCCCCGGACTACTCGGGTCGTCTGTTGACGCCAGCTGGGACAACTCGGGGGCCTGTTTCGGACGGGGCTAGGGCGAGGATGCATCTGTTGCAGAGCGTTCCGGGACGCTTTCAGACGGCCGCGGCGCCCGATATATCTTCCAGAGCCGCCAGATCTCAGAGACTTTGGAGTGATATTTTCACCTGAATCATGAGTTGATCCTCGTCCTGGCTTCGTCTTACTGTTGAGGCCTGCCCGGCCGGACTACCTGAGGGGATGTGTCTGTGCGCACCTCGAGGCCTCACAGGAGGAGGAGGAGGAGGAGGAGGAGGAGGAGGAGGAGGAGGAAATGGAGGAGGAGGAGGAGGAGGAGGAGGAGGAGGAGGAGAAGGAGGAGGAGGAGGAGGAGGAGGAGGGAGGAGGGAGAAGGGAACGAGCGCCTCGCCTCGACCTGGAGCGGAGGTCAGCGGATTCGGCCTGTTCCGCTCGCGCCTTCGGTGGCAGTACGTTGCCAGCCTGCTGCGGTGCAGGGAGCTGCGGGGGCTCCCCGTGGTGCTCGCCCAGGGCCACTCTCGGTTCCTGCTACCCGTAAGTCGGGCATGTCCGTCAGGGGGAATATTCAGAAATAGTCCCAAAATATTACGGGGACGTTTTTTTTATTATAATGGATCGTTTTAGATGTTTTGCATATTTTTGAAAATTGTCGCCCGAAATCCGCCTGTAGGGGGACATGCCCGACCTAATGCTACCCTTCTTTCGTTTTCCCCCCTTGTTCGGCCGCCCCTGGGAGGCCCTCGGCGCCACCGCTGGATTCGCCTCGACATGTTGGCGGGACGCACCCCGGGAGAGGTCAGGGGAGCACCGGGGGGGGACATTGGTCAAGGAACGTGCCCAGGAGGCTTCAGACTCCAGAGGCTTCGTTGCCTGACGGGGGCGGCAGTGATAACCGTGGCCGACCGACGATTCGAGTTCCACAACTTCCAGACCCTGGATTCCTTACCCACTGGTTCCTTACCCAATGCCCTCACCGTAGCGGTATCGGTACCTCTTGGTTTCCCCAGGTTCGGGACTTCTTCGGGGCCAGCGGTGGTCGAGACGCACCCGCACCAGTGGCTGGGCCCGCGCTCCGAGCACGTGTGGCAGTGCGACGAGAATGGCACGTGGCGGTGCAGGGTCTGTGGAAGGAGGAAACGTAGGAGGCCTGGAGGTTGGCACCAACGCCAGTACACGCTCGTTGAAAGTGGGTATTTCTGGACTCCCAGGTTCCAGTCTACGTTAGGCGCCTTCCTGCTTTGAGGATCGGATGGTTTTTCACCTGTTCCTTCCTCGCAGGGGGGTAGGCAGAAGCCCAATCTGCGTCCAGCGACTTCCTAACTGAATGCTTTTACCCATCAGCGACGAGCAAGGGGGGGAGTGAGAGGGAGAAGGCCTTCTCAGAAGGCTCAGAAGTCCCGGCCTTCTGAGAAGTTTACTTAGCCTTCCCCAAATACAAAAGAGCAGCTTCTCAGAAGGCGCGAGGGCTGCTGAGAAGTCCCGCCGCCTTCTGAGAAGGCCTTCTCCTTCCAACTTCCCCCCCTCGCTCGCCGCCGACAGCGTCGGTGCCAATGGAGCGACGTAAGAAGCAGGGTCGTCTTCGCCGACATTGGCGCGTAAGCTGCCCCCGTAAGGTCGCGGGTAAGCGCCTTCGTCCCCAATGTGGCGTTCCGCGCTGGCGGTCTGCGTAAGCCACCGCGGAAGGTCGCTACGTCATCTCGCGGGAGGCCCGTTTTCTGATCGCCGCTCAATCAGCAGGCCTCCCAATAGACAGCAGAACCATACTGCTTGGATGTCCGCACCGATGTCTTAGGTCGGTGCTGAGGCCCCCAGCCCTGGCGCGTGGAGCGCTTCCCGGCGCGCAGAGCGCACCAGGGGCGGCGCCAGAGGTGCCGCCCAGGGGATTTCCACCAGCCCCGGTCCAGGAAGTCTCGGCGGACATCCGAAAGTGTGCGCTCGTGTGGTGTTTGCTTGTTCGAGGTCTTGCAGGTGTGCACGACGATCACACACAACGGTGATTTTGATGGTTGGACGGTCTACGACAAGGTTGTGCCCAACGGCACCCTCGGGCTCTTTCTTGCACGAGCCCTGCACTGCAACAATGACGTGAAGGGCGATTCTGCAAAGTTGGCCGGCATGATGGACCTCCTCCTCTGTCAAGGCATGTGGGTTGCATCCGTGCGCCTGGCATTCGTGACTGAGGTTATGAAGCACGTAGACGAGATGTTCGGTTGGGAGGCGCCGTCTCGAGATGCACCTAATCATGCCCCACCGCACGGATCAATTGCCCACTGGGCAAGCGTGTTCGACGACGTTTTCAGGGAAGCGTTGGAGGCTACCAAAGTCGACTCGCGAAAACCGTCGCAGGAAGGACAGTTTGTGCCCACGCAGGATAAAGTACAGGCACTAGTTGACGCTCTCGTTGACGTGTTCGAGGCGCCGCCGAACGCAGAGGAGATGCAGCGTCACGGAGTCACGGGCGTCCACCTCAAGAGGTTTGTGGCGAAGGCTTGCGAGTATTTCTTCACCATGGACCTGCTGAGCACCGTGCAGTCATTCTTCCAGAGGGCGGAAGGCACCTTTGGGGTCTCCGTCTCGTGCACCTTGTGGCCCACGTCCATTGTGCTCGCCAGCAAGGTCGCGTCGGACGAAAGTGGGGTGGGGGGTGGGGAAGGGGGGGGCACGCAAGCTGCTGCGAGCAGCTGGTATCGGCCCCGCCACTGGGCGCCTTCCTCGACGCGTTGGCGCAGCCGAGGCCGGAAGGCGCCGGGTCGGGAAGATCAGTTGCGCGAATTGATTCGCTATTCCCCCCCTCGGCTACCTCCCCCCTTTTGCTTGGCATCGCTCGGACGTGTGCTTTTATTTTCTTCCTTAGCGAGGACCATCGAGGAGCATCCCAGAAGATCGTGCGGAAAACAATCACACGAAGCCGGAAAGTGTTCGGGGAATGGACGTCCAAGCGATTGCAAGCTTGCCATCCGCCGATCTGAGGCCCCGAACCACTCCCAGGGGCCAGGTTCTTCCGCCCCGGACCCATTTTTTGAGGGCCCTCCCTGGTCTGGAGCCCGGCCCATATCGAGGGACAACGCCGGGATTGAACAAAAATCATGTCGTCGGAGATCTTGGTCTTCGGATCATACAGTCAACGCGCCTAGTAAGGACGCGCGCCTTCATCTAGGGTGCCCTTGTGTCCTTGCCTCTGCGGCCCGTCATTTGCCGTTTTCGCTGGTCGCCCGCCGCCCGAAAGGGTATTGCGTCCTTACCTCCCCTGCTTAATTCTAGGCCTCCAAGATGGGGTCGGAAGATCACGCCGCATCGCCGATGCATCGGCGGTTCGGCTCGATGCGGAGCCCGATGTTCTCCACGCCGACGGCGCCAATGCGTCGCCGACGTCTGCGATGCATCGCCGATGCATCGCCGAAGCATCGGCGATGCGGCGCGATCCTCCGACCCCATCTACTCGGACCCCATCTAGGAGGCCTCTATTAATACACGTTTTGACTGTTGCTCGGGACTCAGGCGGTCGCTGGGGACGATCCAGGCACTCCCGGGAACGCTCTCGGCGAGGCCAGCAGCTGGAGAGCATCCCGAGGCGAGAATATCTCCAGGAGCCAACGGAAACATTCGAAAGTTGCGTTAACACACACACACATACATACACACACACACGCACACACACACACGCAGAAGGAGCTAACGCAGAACCGTCGTCGATCCAGGAGTCAAGAAAGTCCCCCCCCGGACCTATCCAGGGGTCCAGCCGTGGCGACGAGAAGCCTCCCCAGAGCTCAAAAGCGCCCGAGAGCCTCGAACCTCCTCCTCCTCCTCCTCCTCCTCCTCCTCCTCCTCTCCTCCTCCTCCTAAGGCTACGTGCGCTTCTCCTCCTCCTCCTCCTCCTCCTCCTCCTCCTCTCCTCCTCTCCTACTCCTTATCCTCCTCCTCCTCCTCCTCCTCCTCCTCCTCCTCCTCCTCCTCCTTCCTCCCTCCTCCCCACCGCCTCCTCCTCCTCCTCCCCCCCCTCCTTCCGCCTCCTCCTCCTCCTCCCCCTCCTCCGCCTCCTCCTCCTCCCCTCCTCCTCCTCCTCCTCCTTCCTCCTCCTCCTCCCTCCTCCTCCTCCTCCTCCTCCTCCTCCACCTCCTCCTCCCCTCCTCCTCCCCTCCCTCCTCCTCCTCCTCCTCCTCCTCTCCTCCCTCAGCCCCCTCCTCCTCCTACCTTTTCTCCTCCCCCCTCCACTCCTCTCCTCCTCCTCCATCCCTCCTCCTCCCTCCTCCTCCTCCACTCCTCCTCCTCCGCCTCCCTACGCCTCCTCTCCTCCTCCTCCTCCCTCCTCCTCGTCCCTCCTCCCCCTCCTCCCCATTTCCTCCTCCTCCTCCCACTTCCTCCTCCTCCTCCTCCTCCTTCGCCCCTCCTACCTCCCTCCTCCTCATCATCATCATCATCTCATCATCATCATCATCATCACATCATCATCATCATCATCATCATCATCACATCATCATCATTCATCATCATCATCTTCATCATCATCATCATCCCCCTCCTTCTCCTACCTTTCTCCTCCCCTCTCCTCTTCCTCCACCTCTCCTCCTCCTCCTCCTCATCCCCCTCCTCCTCCTATCTCCCTCCTCCTTCCTCCTCATCCTCCTCCCCTCTCACCTCCTCTCCTCCTCCTCCTCCGCTCCTCCTCCTCCTCCTCCTCCTCCTCCCTTTCTCCTCGTTCACCCCCCTCGAACCTCGAAAGCCTCGCAAGAGGGCCAGCCGATCTCCCTCGCGATCGACCAGACGCGCCCGCTCGTGTTCTGGTCCTCCGAGCCCAGCAGCCTCCTGGTCGGCTGGCCGGTTCCCGACGCGCGAGGGCAGCGGACCCGCGCGGCACGAGCGCGCTTCGACCTCAACGACGCGGCCGGAGAGGCCCGAAGAACAAGAGAAGCACACGGCGGCAGCATTGGTTCAGGGATGTGCCCAGGAGCCTTCAGGCCCTGGAGGGTTCCTTGTCTGATGAGGGCGGCGGTGGTATACATGGCCGATCCACGATTGGCTCTCCACTGGCCTCCAGACCCTGGATTCCTTATCTAAGGGCTCCTCACCCAATGCCCCCACCGTGCCCAGACACCTGGCGTCTCGAGACAACTCGAGGCGGAGCGGTGCTTCACCGTGTTCGCCCCGTCGGGGCCCTTCTCGGGCCTCGGGGCCGTCAAAACAAGTACCCGAGATGGAAAAAAAACAGTGCCAGGGGCCCGCCCCTCGACAAAAATTGAGACGCTGGATGTCTGGGCACATCGGATGAGAAGTAGACCTTCCGATCCGGGCGCCACGATTTTTGCACACCGGGCGTCGTCGCTCGATTTCGGGCCCCGGGACCATCACGGATCGATCTTGTCCGAAAGTTGCCGGGAAAGGATGGGGTCTAGGGCACCAGTCGTCTTTTTAAAGATGCTGCATCATTGCGCGACGTCGGATTTCGCAGGAGGAAAGGGGACCGATTCCGCCCCTCGTCCTGGAGAGCCTTTTGCCGCCACGGCTGGATTCTCTTCGAAATCCTGGTCAGGACGCGCGGCAGGAGAGGAGATGTTCGTGGAGTGACGGTACCGGCGCTTGTCTCCACCGAAGGGAGATGATTCTGACTTCGGTGATCGCGGTACCCTTCGGGCTTCCCAGGGGGCCGAAATATTGCCACCACCAGCAACATGTAGGGTCATCCCCCCCCGTGGAGACACCGGCATATGTTGGTGCTGGTGCAAATTTGTGCCCAGGCCTCCAAAAAGATGGCTCAAACATGAATTCTCTAAGGTACCCATGCCAAGAAACACCCTGCTGTCCTCCAGGGTGCCCTCATGGGAAGCGGGACGTTCCCACCAGAAGTCGGTGGACGTCCTTGGGTCTCAGGGTTGGGTTTCTCGTGGAAGGCTTCTGGTGGACTGACCTCCACTGTATTGGATCGGCGCTGGGCCCCCCTCCCTGGCGCGCGGAGCACGTTTGGGCCGGCGCCGGAGGCTCCGCCAAGGGGGGCTCCCAGCGCCCAGGGAGGGCCCCCGCGCCGCGCATCCCAGTGAAATCCGCGCGGGGTGCGTCTCCGGCGGTGCTAAGAGGGAGCCCTGAGGGATGGGGGGGCCCTGAGGTCAGAGGAGGAAAGGGTATCCCTACCGCTGCCCTTCCCTCGCGTTCCCCTTCTGTGGGCCTCCTGGGAGGCCCTCGTCGCCACTGGTCGCCTCGAAGTACTGGTCAGAACGCAGCCCAGGAGAGGTCCAGGGGGTATCGGCATCGGTGCCTGTTGGTGTCCCCACGAGGATGCGAGACGAGTCCGACGTTGAGCCTTCACTGTTCAGGGATGGGGCCCTGAGGATGGGGCCCTGAGGGGTGGGGCCCCTCAGGCGGGGCCCTGAGGGAGAGAGGGGGAAGCTGTGCGCCTTTGAGCGTTGCTGGCAACGCTGACAGAGATCTTCTCTGTCTCCTCTTCGTCGTCTGGCCGCGCTCATCATGAATGCATACCCTTGTCAACATGGCATGTCCAACAGCTTCGTATGAAATTGTTGTTGCTTTAAGTATTTGTAGTTGGGCGTTTATTGTGGTACGTTGGCATGATATAAGGGCATGCGACAACACCATCTTGAGGTGGCATGACTTATTATGGTGTTCGTCCTGACATTGGTTTAAAAGATGGTTTAGTACATTGCATCGGATCGTCATCGGGATATTGTTTGTGGTTAGTGTTCAGATTCGTGCGCAGGACCCAGAACTGGGTGATGCGTATGAGATTGATTTGGACATGGTGTATGATGTATTGGTGGTCATGTTACGGGTGTTACCCGTGCAATGTTTTAGGGTGTTGACGATAATTGGTGACGACGATGATGATCATCATCATGATGATGCTGTTGATGATGATGTTGCTGATGCTGAGGAGGAGGAGGAGGAGGAGGAGCAGGAGGAGGAGGAGGACGGGGAGGAGGAGGAGGAGGAGGAGTATCAGGAGGAGGACGGTGTGGTAATGAGGAGGAGAAGGAGGGGGAGGAGGAGAAGGGCGTAAGCAGGAGGTGACGTAGGAGGGTCATGAGGAGGATGACGAGCAGGATGAGGAGGAGAAGGATAAGAAGGATGATGCTACGGATGGGGTGTGACAGGACAAGGATGCGACATGTTGACGATGATGGTGATGAAGATGGCGATGACGATGATGATGAATATGAACACGAGCATGGGATACATATGAATACGAAACTGAACTCGATAATGCTGATCATGATGGTGATGATGGTAATGCTAATGATAATGATGGTGGTGGCGGTGATGGTGATACTGACGGTATTGATGATGATGGTGAGTTTGGCGATGCTGTTGCTGCTGCTGCTGCTGATGATGGTGATGATGCTGATGATGATGACGATCACGATGATGATCGGGGATGGGCGGTGTGCAAATGCTGGTGATTCAGATGATGCTGAAGATGCTGATGCTGGTGATGATGATGCTGATGGTGCTGATGATGATGCTGATGGTAATGATGATGCGTATGATGATGGTGATGCTGGTGCCGATGATGATGATGATGATGATGATGATGATGATGATGATGACGATGATGATCTTGGTGAGGATGATAAAGGTGATGATGATGGTGATGATGATGATTATGGTGATGAAGAACACGGTGATGCCACTGGCGACCATGATGACGATGCCTGCACTGATGGCGGTGGTGGTGGTGGTGCCAATGATGATGAGGAGGAGGACGAGGATGATAATGATGATGATGCGTATGATGATGGTGATGATGATGATGATGATGGTGCTGATGATGATGGCGATATTGATGATGATGAGGATGATGATGCTGCTGATGCTGATCATGATGATGACGCTGATGATGTTGATGATGCGGACGTTCACGATGATGGTGATGATGATGATGATGATGATGATGATGATGGTGTTTCTGCTGATGCTGATGATACAGGTGATGATGGTGATGAGGATGATGATGACGATGGTGATGATGCTGATGCTGATGATGATGGTGATGGTGATGGTGATGTTGATGCTGAAAAGGAGGAGGAGGCGGAGGAGGAGGAACAGGGTATGGATGCGTCTCGGAGGAGGTGGGGGGGGACGTGAGGAGCAGAAGACGGAGACGGAGGAGGAGAAGGATGGCGAGGATGAGGAGGCTTTTTTTGTTTGACCTCCACGGCTTCACCACATCAGCCGAATAGGCGACTCCTTACAGCATCTGTGGGGAATGCTGTAAGCAAAATGCACCGAGCAGCCGGTGCAAAAAAATGGGCGACCTCGGGGTAGGATGAGCAGGATGAGGAGGAGGCACACACGAAGTGTAAGGAGGAGGAGGAGAAGGAGGAGGGGAGCAGGAGAAGGAAGATGAATAGGAGGAGGGAGAGGTGGAGGCCGATACGGAGGAGTATGTGGCAGAGGAAGGGGAAGGGAGAGACGATGTGGATGATGGTGATGATGCTGCTGATGATGATGATGATCATGATCATGATCATGATGGTGATCACTATGTTGATGACGACGCTGATGGTGATGGTGGTAGTTATGATGCTGACGATGGTAATGTTGCTGATGATGACCATGAACATGGCGATGCTGACGATGACGATGATGATGCCGATGCTGATGATGATGCTGATGACGGTGATCCTGCTGACGATGGTGTCTTTGATGATGCTGGGAGTGTTAATGCTGTTGATGAGGATGGCAATCCTGGCGTTGATGATGATGATGCGGCTGATGATGATGATGTTGATTCTGATGGTGAGGATGACCATGAAGAGGAGGATGCGAATGCGGATGATGATGATGGTGATAAAGATGATGAGGATGATGCTTATGATGCTGATGATGGGGGTGGTGATGGTGATGATGATGGTGGTGGTGATGCTGCTGATGAAAATGGTACTGATGATGATGCTGATGCTGATGATGATGATGATGATGATGATGATGGTGATCACGACGGTAATGACGCGTATGATGCTGACGATCATGATATTGCTGCTGCTGATGATGATGCTGCTGATGATGACGATGATGATGATGATGACGATTGTGACGCTGGTGATCCTGCTGCTGTTGCAGGTGATGGTGCAGATGCATGGTTTGATGATGGTGATGGTTATGCTAATGATGCTGATGATGATGAGGATGCTGATGCTGCTGATGCTGATGATGCTGCTGCTGATGATGATGATGATGATGATGATGGTGACGATAGTGGGTGCACGGGTGACGACCAGGAGGGTTATGACGAATATACAGGGGATGGCTACAGTGAGTATGGTGATGCTAATGGTGCTGCCGCTGCTGCTGATGATGATGGTGATGGCGCTGATGATGGTGTTGATGATGATGATGGTTATGACTATGATGATGCTGATGATGATGCTGATACTGATGATGATGATGGTGCTGATGATGCGGACGATGCTCATGATGATGATGGTGATGGTAGCGGTGATGCTGCGGATGGCGATGAGGTGGATATAGAGGCGGAGGACGAGAAGTGGGGAGGTGGCGTAGGAAGATGAGAAGGAGGAGGACACGGAGGTGGAGAAAGAGGATGATGATGAGGGGGGGGGGGGGGGGGGCAGGAGGAGGACGAGGAGGGGGAGGAGGATGCCAAGAAGGAGAAGAGGATGTGGGAATGAGGGGGGGGGACGTCTGGAGGAGAAGACGGAGGCGTAGAAAGAGGAGGATGGCAAGGAGGGGGAGGAGGAGGAGGAGGAGGAGGAGGAGGAGGAGGAGGAGGAGGAGGAGGAGGACGAGGGGGAGGAGGAGGAATAGGAGGAGGAGGAGGAGAAGGAGTTGGAGTAGGTTGGAGGGATGCGGAGGAGGAGGAGGAGAAGGAGGAGGAGCTGGTTAAATAGGAGGAGGGGGCGCATACATCGGACGCCAGAGAT